TGCATGGTAGTGCGAAAATGGCTGTTTACTGCCATAAGGGTTGATTCAGGTCCCATAAAAACACAGAGGACTTGATTACGCAGATAAACTGATCATATACTCAATCGAAATTACGCAATTTCAAAAATGTTTCTCGTCTGGTTAAGCTGCATTACGAGGAACCCACTAAAAAAGGTGCGCGTATGCATTTTATGGAAACTGCGGAATGCTCCGCCTTGCAAAGTCATGATGAGATGCTTGAAAGGGTTTTGGCCACTTTTCTGAAGCACCGTAGGAATTATAATAATTATACTCTTTTCATGCACGAAGATCGTATATAATTAGAAATAGCAAGATTTATAGAGTTGAGCACTTCAGTAAATTTTCGTTCAAAGTTTATGTCGGTAAGCCCTGTCCGCTTCTTATTTCAAAAACTAGAGGTAACTCAGGAAACTTGCTATTGTTTGCAATAGTGCTGAGTCTAAAGCCATATGGCGTATTTGATCTTGAATAGAACCACAAAGATTCTGTAGGGATATTGCACATAATTGCCATGGCTTCATCGGATACAAGTTCCAACTCATCAATTATCTAACATTCAAACGTAAGAATTTCTGTAGGCGCTTTACGGGGTTCTAACTTCTTTTTACCAGAGCCGTTCACTTGGAGGATTTGGTTTGACTCATTCCAAAAAAGATGGGAAACTGATGAACTGCCTGCCAAGGTATCCCCAGATCATGCGGAACTTAGGTGAAAACTTTTTTCGGAGGTTTAAATGATCTATTACATACCGCATGCGCTATTTTCCACTTGTTACGATCTGTAAAAGGCCCTTTCATTTCTTCCCCTCTTAACTGACTAGTAACAAGAGGAAGTTTGTTTCTCATTGGCCATTTGTGGCAGTTTGATTTTCATGAAAAAATCTCCAAAGCAAGAACATTCAAAGCGGTCTCTCATAACGGGTTTGATGGAAGCTTAGATTCCTTCGAGACACTCGAAATTTCAAGGACTTCCCAGTTCCTCCACGTCGCAAGCATTCTTTCATAAGTATCTCAATTCTCTTGTACTGGGAGATCGACTGACTGAGCAGGATTGAAAATAATGAGAAGAGAAAAACTGATGGAAGTGTTGAAGTAACAATACACTTCAGTAAAGGATGCTTCAAGGATCGCAAAACATACGTGATTTTGGGGGAAACCACAGAAACTAGATCTAGTAAGAATTTTGCGCAGCCCAAAGTCATGAATTGAGACAACCCAATATTAACGACGGCCGACTGAAGTAATAATTTAGGAAGTGGGCAAAGCGCTACTAAATTCTTGTTCCAAGCGAAGAGCTGAATGTACACAAAACAACCATTACCTGTTAGAAGCTAAAATCCTGGTATAAAAAACGATTTTAGGGAGAACTCGAAAAAGCGCTAAATGAGATGAATCTTTTCTTTCCAGGACCATCCGCTAGACTAACGCGTCACCTTCTCGAACAGCATGAAAGGTGAGTGCGAAAGAATACGAATAAAGCGGCACTCAACTGCCATCAAGTTATCCAACAAAATTAAAGCATCATGTCTAACGTATATAACACG